GTCTTTATTTTAATAACGAATTCGTCCAGTTTTGATTAAATATGGAGACTTGTACAGATACACTATCTACTATCTGAAACCCTTGGGAACAGTCACCGAAATGTGGAATTGCGATATCGTAGAACAGTTAATAACAAATGACAGAAAGTTTCGCATAGACATTCCAAGGAATAAGAAAAGAGACTTTTCAGAAAATTTGTAAGGTGATAAAGAATAAATTTATTATCAAGTTACCCGAATAAAATAGAAGGCTTCTTCTTCTTCTTCTTCTTCTTCTTCTTCTTCTTCTTCTTCTTCTTCTATGTGCGCCGTATCCCTGCAGGACGTTGGAGAACTTGGCTCTCCACAATTTCCTGTCATTTGTAGCTATTAAGAAAATTTAATTTTCTTTTTATCTTTCTTAATTCGCATTCTGAGATCCATTTACTCAAGTTTGTTAGGGAGGTTATTTTTTGTTTATATCTTGGCTTTAATCTGTCTAACGTGTACAAAATTTTCCAAGCCCTCTTTCCTCATTATGTGCCATAGAAGTATAGACTGTCGCCTTCAATGTGTAAGTCTCCATTTTGTTTCCATTTTCTCTAAATTTTCGTGGTAGCTACATAATCAGTCCATGGTATTCTCAGTTTCTTTATGTAAAACCAAATATACGTCAGATACAAGTCTATTCTTCAACTGTGAGCATTCACCACCATAAAGGACAACTGATATTATATAATAAGTCAGTACACTTTTCTTTGTTTCTAACAAAGATCTTTTTTCTGTTTCTTAATATTTTGTTTAGCTTTTGAAAGACATCTTTCGCTATCCCAATGCTCCTTCGGATTTCAATGTCACACTTTCCATCCTTTGATAAGTAACTTCCCAGATGGCTTCTTCTTCTTCTTCTTTTCTCTTTCATATATTCGCATATTACCACCTAGTGCATGCTGGTCTTCATTAAAAGCTGACAAAAAGTCTCAAGAAATCGCCAATATCATTCATTAGATGTTCTCATGCCTGGAATGAAACCCCGGCGATTTATTTCATTCTATAAGAGAACTGTCATTAAATTGATAATATTTTTCTTCGTATATGGGATGTTCCTGGGAGGGCGATCTTCTGGGCAACTTGTATGTTGATGTTAACTAAGACACTGAAAATGTTCCCTTTGATTTAAATTAAATTTAAATTTGAACAAGGGAATGAATCCTATGCAAAAAATTGTCCATTCCTTTTCTCACGAGGCCCAGTGCTCCGATTACTATTGGTACAGTCTCAGTCTTCATTTTTCACAAGCTGTTAATTTTAATCTCCAGATCGTTGTATTTGGATAATTTCTCGATAGTTTACATGGAGGTCTTTCTCTTAGATGGTACTGCTATGTCAATAACCATACACTTCCTGAATTTGTTGTCTTTTATGATAATATCAAGTCTGTTCGCTTTTATTTCCATGTCGGTTTAAATTGGCATGTCCCAGAGGATAGTTACATCGTTATTTTGGGTAACTGTGTCTGGTTGGTACTCAAACCCTCTCTCAGTGGTTTCGATTTTGTGCCTCTTGCGTATCTTCCAGTGTGTGTATATTGCTACCTTATGTCTGTGGCTATATTCATTTTTTTCTAGTTCATATTTTTCCGCAGATCCTGCATTTCGGGTTAGTCCCCCGGCTGATGATTATATGACAGTGATAGGTTTTGGTTGTGAGGCTTTTGTCCTGAACTGCAATAATTAGACCTTGTGTTTCAATTTTCAACCAGGTTGTTGTTGTTGTTGTTTTTGTTATTGTTGTTATTTTCTTAAGTTTTTGTTGTATACTCATTTCTTTCCTAAGGTTAGAAATAGCAATGACATTTTCCACTGAGCATTTAAAAACTAATAAGAAAAGAATTTCGTAAGATGTGAGCTGTAGTAAAAAGAACATCTTTTTTTTTTATTTAAGACAGGAATCCCTTCAATCAGAACCTTTCCAAAACAAACCTAGGACTCCAAACAACTGGAATTATTGATGTTCTCATATGCCACATATTTGATGTGCCACATATTTTATTGTTATCCTTATGTGTAAAAGTTATTATTATTATTATTATTAGACACATTTCCGTTAGGGTCCCAACCAGAGACCCAAGGTTAGAATTGGTTTCATGACTTGTTGCACTGATCATTTTTGTAAAAAACCTCTATGATCACACATTTTACATAGATAAAGCACTTCGTAATATATGAGCTGTACTTGTGAGTACAATTCCTTGTATGTCTTTAAGGCATGGGCTACCAGGATTCCTTTCAAAGATACATTACAGTCTGCAGGGCCTATTATTTCAATAAGGATTCACATTTTATCTTTGCAGTCTCTAATCAGGATGTCACAGCGATGAGCTTTGATTGTAAACTCCCATAAAATTCTCTCTCTGTAACCGGGTCTGGGTGATGTTCATGTCAATTCATTGCAATTATTATTATTATTATTATCATTATTTGGGGAGTCTTCAAAATTAACTTGGTTTTCTGGGTTTTGTCTGCAGGCGAGAGAACGTAGTATTACTGATTCTAACATTTTTTTGAGGGAGAGACACCATCCTCCGATCCAAGCTTCCAATATGTCCGTTGATCACTATATAAAAATGACTCGTCAGTAATTTTACAAATTCCAACTCGTTAACTTATTGACGCGATGCAGTATATTCAGACAGCAAAAATTTATTTTCTCATGTTCGAGTCGTACAACAGAGATGTCGAAATTCAGAATATGGCGTCGCAATTTTGATGACTTTCAAGAAATGTTTTACAAAGCAATTCATGGAAGGCAGTAATGAAGAACATATTAGCAATCTTAAAAAAATAAATAAAAATGCCCTAATATGTTAACAATCACCTTTGCATTTGCCATCGGAAATGGAAACGCATTCAACCAACCAATTAATTGACGCGCATGCGCATGCACTCAATACTGTGTTATAACTCCAAGCACAGATAATACAGTTACTGTCCATTGATACAAATGACAGATTTGATATTACAGGCAGAAACATATGTTATTACATATATGAAAAAATCTTTATACTAGCAGAACTATCTGAGACTGTGGCTTTATTAAAAATAGAATATGACACTACAATATAAACTCACAGAATTAATATCTATCTATCTATCTATCTATCTATCTATCTATCTATCTATCTATCATGAATTGTTTCTTTGTTTTGAATGCTGTTCATATCTATCTATCTCAAAATGTTTGTTTTTTTCTGTCGCAAATTGTTTTTCATTGTTTCTTTCTATCTCAAATTGTTTCTTTCTTTCTATCTATCTATCTATCTATCTATCTATCTATGTTTGTTTCTATCTATCTATCTCAAATTGTTTCTGTCTTTCCTTCTGTCTGTCTTAGTCTATTCACATCTATGTATGTATGTATGTATGTATGTATCTATCTATCTATCTATCTATCTATCTATCTATCTATCTATCTATCTATCTAATTAAATGAATGTATAATAAATATATATTTGGTGCGGTTTCGCATCCATCAAACTTTCACTTAATAAACAATACGAGGGTGTAGACAACGGTATCTTGCCTACCCAAGAAACGCTACAGTGGTCCTTCAAAATGACAGATATCGAAAGTAGTTGAACAGAAAAACAGCACAAATAGGAAGTTCGAACAGCCGACTAGCAGCATGGCCCGGCGTTGCCCGTGCTTGATTCAAAAATCGTACGACTCATACAGCAATCGCTATCACTTGACTTAAAATATTTTTGCCCTTCCTTGCCTTTAAAGGCGTGCCCTTTGCCGTGCTGATGTTGCTACATGTCTTACTTCTTGCCTATCTCACACTGCGAATTTTTTCGAAGCTCTATACTAAACATTAAATCTGTTACGAAAAAAGAACTAAACAAAATGAACACAAAACGATCAGCTTTAAAAAAAAAGGACACGTAACTGAAAAAAACCGAATGAAAAAAGAATGTTAACAACAAATACTATTTCACACCCAACCCAGTTCTGCGGAATCAGAATAAACGTTGAGTTTAAGCAAGCGAATGAGCCAATTGGAGTAAAGTGCCATGCAGATTTAAATTTTTCCCTCCTGTGACAAATGCAGCTATCGATTTTTTTTGCATGCTAGCATACTAGTTAACATTCGTGTCAGTCAGCTGTTGGCTCTCACGCTGGCCAATAGAATCTTCCTGCCTTTTTGTGGCAGCCAGCTATTGGCTCTCCCTCTGGCCAGTAGAAAATGACCGCAAACTACATGAAAAGTGCCGTAGAAGCATAAAAAAATCGATTATTTCCACTATCGACGAGAGTTGGGAAATGTAAAGTCAGTCTTGGCCTTCCCGCTAACTTGGAGCATGTGCATGTAAATTTTGTTGCAAATCCGTCGGAAATTGCAGCCATTCATTCGTTGCACACACACACACACACACACACACACACACACACACACACACACACACACACACACACATCGTGCCTTTTATAGATAGAGATTCCGGCCAGCATCTTGTTCGAAAACTGAACAAATAAAATAAAAAAATTAATCAGGGACCTTGTCGGTTGTATTTAAAAAAGAAAAACTTGTTTGGATAAATACTTTTCGGGACGGTCTGTTTACGAAACTGTGTTTATATTTGTGTATACATACATACATACATTCAATCACACATATACATATACATATACATACATACATACATATATATATATATATTAATAATAATTATTAATTAATTGTTAACGAGTTAATAGATATCATTTTTTCATCTGATATTTCTCGTTAGTGCAAACGCTATTTTAGTGGATACCCGTGTTTAGTAGACGACCTGTTTTTATATTTCTTTTTTGAATTCTATTTAACACTGTGAGTTACGTCTATTGACATACACATTCGAGAGACTTACGACTGCTGGTAGACATAATTTACTCTTACATCAAATAGAAAATATCCTCCCCCCCCCACAAAAAAAAAGCTAAGAAAAAGAAAGAAAAAAAAAACATTGCATTTACTCAAACATGAGTATCCGATAAAATAAATTTTGGAGTAGCGACACTCTCACACACACACACACACACACACACACACACACACACACACATATATATATATGAAAGAAAAATACAGAAAAAACAAAATTCTGAATATGCATTATTAATGTTAAAATAAAGTCGACGTCGGACGTTTCGGTCTATTTAAGACCATCTTCATGGACATTTTCATTTAAACATAATTAACATTATAACTTATAACAATTTAACACAAAAGACGATGGACATAAGAGCCCAACTAATTCAGACAGATAACTGAAATTTTATACAGATCAGCGTTCTGTTTAAATATGATCACGTAGTCGTCACGTGGAAATCATCTTCGAATACGTCTTAACAACATCGCCCACGTGACGACTACGTGATCATATTTGCACGTTAGATAGATAGACTAAGACATGAAGAGAGAGGCAGACGAACAGAGAAAAACGAAGGCAAAAGCATTCAACCAGATAGATCTTTTCGTTATAGACAAATATATATATATATATATATATATATATATATATATAAAAGAACAGTAAGATATATAATCCGGTGTTCTTATAGATATTTTTATTTTTACAAAATATTGCTCAATGTGTAGCGAAAAAACATATTTCAAATCAATTAATTATTAATATATATATATATATATATATATATATATATATATATATATATATATGTGTGTGTGTGTGTGTGTGTGTGTGCAAGCGTGTGCACGCGCGCATTCATCTAAATAAGTTTTGCAAATTTCTACCGACAATAACTTCTGTTTCATTTTTTATTGTATTTTTCCAATTTTCGACTGAAATATTGTACATTCCATATCAAAAATAGTGGAAAATCTGTACAAATTCTGCATAAATTTCTGGGATGACCAATGTCATTAATTACATTATTTCTAGTCGAAACAATGTCCTGATCTTTTTTGTTATTATCAAAACTATGTGGCCGTTGTGCACTATTCCATGTGTCTGTCGAAACGGAAAACCTGAAATTTTCGAATTGGTAAGTTCTTCTTGTTCGGATATTCATGTCTTGGGGCATCGCATCTAATTAACTTTTTAATTTCATTTATTGCTAATCTCATTTCAACTTAGTCTAAGTCTGTAGTACTCTGGCTAGAGATTTGAGCTCTCAAATGATATATCACTAAATATTACTAAACCAAAAACCAATGCTTTAATACTGTATTTGCGTGGAGGTGCCCAGGCCTTACTCTCTAGCCTTGATAGAGTCAAAGCGGGTCTCCGAATCCTTGTCGTTGACGAATCATTCTCCACCTCTCTCCCACAGGCGTGATGTGAAAAAGGTTAAAGAGTACAACGGCCGAAACGTTATGATAACAACAAAGATGAGGATATTAGTCCGACGGTAAATAATCTATCTATCTATCTATCTATCTATCTATCTATCTATCTATCTCAGTCTGTTCATATCTATCTATATCAGTCAGTTCATATCTATCTATCTATCTATCTATCTATCTATCTATCAACTTCCGAAGTTCATGATTACTGTATTTCTGTGATTAATTTCTTCTAAAATGAAATTCTTTTTATTCTGACGCCCGTCCAACGACAAAACACATCAAAGTCGAAGATTTTCAAATTGCATCACCTTTATGCGGACGAATAGTCTATGGCACTGCGGATCAGCCGTTGATTTTCTTTGACAAAGGACAACGTAGGTTAGAACCCTACTGGTAAGCTCTTTTTCCTTATTAAGCGTCTCGATTGCATAGGCCGGTAGGCAAGAATTTATTAAGACAAAAATATGCACCCTTTTCGGAATATCCATGAATTTAGATTCAGTATCATACAACAAATCTTCTATCAATACTCAACTATCGACTAATTCAATATGGGATATGCAAAATCAGTATGTATAAAAGAAAATAAAAACAACAAAAAAAATGATTGAGTTATACATCAAGAGACACTCGGTCAGTCCGTTATGTACTAGGCGTGATACAAGCTTAGGCGATCATGTATCTTTCGATACATGAGTGACGAGGCAGATTTTTTCCCGCAGTAGGTTTTCCATTTTTTCCCATCCAAGGCTATACAACCCGGTCTGTTCTGCTATTTTCTGGACAGGGGAGAAAAGAAGAGAATTCATACCTTTCCCAAGAGTATTAGCACGTAAGTAAATGTTATGCATTCGGCTGGAATCCTCAATCCGAGCGGCTATTCCTTACTGCACCGTGCCTCCCACCTAGAGGCACTGGCCATTTTTATTCCAAAAGCTGAGAGTCCCTGTGTCGTTAACATCTTACTTATTATAAAACGCAGATTGTGTGTGTGTCTGTACGTATTGGATCGGATTTTCTACATTTTTCAACCGATTTCAGCAAAACTTCACAGGACTACTTAAAATTACCTTGCGGTGGTTCTGACAGCGCCAAAAATTGAAAAAACACAATTGCTTTTGTACGAAATCAATTTGAAAACACGATAAAACACGATTCTGTCGCCAGAATGAAAGGGGGACAACTCATATCGATTTATACTTATTATAAAACCCAGGCTGTGTGTGTGTGTGTGTGTGTGTGTGTTCGTTTATATATGGGATCGGATTTCCTACATTTTTCAACCAATTTCAATAAAAACTTCACTTTTTTTTGGCAGGTAGTGTTTCTTATTGTCATGCACACTTTTTTCTTTATTTTTACATTCAGAATGCTTTAAAAATTCCATTTACAAGACAATTGTTTATAATAAAATTCTATTCAATCTGTGGCACCATGCATAATTGGACAACTGAAAAGAGATATTCATAAATATATGATTTATTTTTTTCGGTTTGTTAACCATTTGATAGTTATTTAGAGATTAAAAATATTTCGGAGTTGAGAATAATTCTCTAATTGCGTTTAGGCGATCTGAGAGAAGGAAAGAAAGGAGGAGGAAGGAAAAAGAAAGAGAAATAGATGGTACAAAACCCGGTCATAAGCACACACGCTCAGCTGACACATAACAGGTGTCAAAAGATATCTAGGTCAAAGTACCTGACCGAAATCCACGAAAAAAATGGAAGTTTGTTATATTTGGTTGAAGAAATAGAGTTTAGAGACAATGAAAAAAAAAAAAAAGAAAGAAAAAAAAATAATACGAAACCAGGTCAAAGCAAAAAACACACACGCTCGACTGGCACATATCAGATGTCAAAATATCATTTCAAGCACCGACCTACTTTCGTGTCCGCGGAGGATGGGAGTTTGTTATCAATTTGGCTGAAGAATAAAATTTTGGGGCAATGAAAAAAGTATTGATAAGTAACAAATGAAAAGGATGTCATTGAGATGATAGGTAACGGATGGGAAACTGTATCTAAGGATATGAAAACAAAACATTAATACACGAAAGCCAGATAATTCTAAAGTTGAAAAACCACCCAAGGTGAAAATGTTCTTTTGAGATAATTAAGATTTTGTCAACAAGCTCCGAGCGAAAGAAAAAGGTGAAATATTTGTATTAGCTCGCGAGAACGCCACGCAGTCTAGGAGAATTCCTTTCTTAGATCGCATCCAATTAGCGATAGGCTGTTTTGACAGATACCACGTGTAAAAGAAACCGATAGCGTCATTCGATCACATACGAAAAGGGCAAATTTAAATTTTGTTTTTTTAAGCAAGGTGTTTCTTCCCCCAGAACAAAGCCACGGATTGTACACGCCCGATTAGAGACGTCACGAAGGAAGGAGGAAAGATACCGACCAGAGTTTCATTAGCCGAGGACAGTCACATGATACATGAGGGAGGAGGAAAAAACACCCGACCAGAGTCTCATTGGCCGAGAGCGGTCACATGATGTGCGAGGGAGGAGGAAAGATGCCCGACCAGGACCCCATTGGTCGAGAGCGGTCACCTGACATACGAGGGACCAGGGGAAGCGGGTATACGCCTCCCCCCAGAGGCACAGTAAGGAAGTAGGAGTGAAAGTAAGTTACCGATGGTGGAAAATCCCTAATCAGAAATAATACGTCTTTAGAATTATCAAGAAAACCCTGGCGCCGACAGACCCACCCCAGTTTTTGACTGCCTCAATAAAAGCAGGACCCCAACCGACAGAAATCAGTTGCAGTTACGCCGCGGACAGCGAGGGAGCTTGAGCGCGGGCGGCGGACCCGGTTCATTCGCCCCCTTGCGGGCAAGAGAAGCCGAAGAGAGAAAAGTTGCAGTTGCGCTTCGGACGAAGTTGGAGTTGCAGCGCGGACGGCGGGCCCTGTTCATTAGTCCCCTTTGCGGCAAGAAAGGCCGGTTCGTTTGGCCTAAGAAGAGAAATTCGTCCAACCCAAGTCGAAGTGAAGAAATTCGCCCAACTCAAGCCGAAGTGAATAAGCTCGTCCAACCGAAGCCGAAGAGAAGAAGTTAATTCGCGCACTGACGGCGAGGGAAATCAGCCGTGAACGACAGGTAGAGATCAGCGCCCAGTGTTGAAACCAAACCACACCCCGAAATGCAAATTTCTAGAGAGCAAGCAACTCGAAGCCTTAAAGTTGTATGGTAGAAGCTTGGTGCCACGGTCCACAGAACGGGTCGGGAGGTAGGAATAATCTTGTGTAACGAACATTTAGATATAAAAAGTTGTTACCTTTTTCTTCAATAATTTTTGACCTTGTGAATTTTTATTTTTCTTGTGTGTTATCACCCCCGTTGAACTCAGCTTGCATACGGCCCAAATCCCTGTTTGATCCCGTCTGTCTAAGATCTAATCACAACGTGGGTAGGCAGACCGGAGATCAGTGCAGTTACCCTAGTAACCAGGCGTTGGAAGCGAGTTGGGAACGACGAGGCTGGTATTCATCTAACCAAAGGGTTAGAACGTCACACTTGGAGCAGCGAGGAGCGAACAGCTGACGCCGCGGCAAAGACGTCACAACTGGTGTCGTGACCATAGGATCAGAACCCTGGACCACGTCACGTCACAGTTGGCGCCGCGAACGAGATCGAACGACAGAGTCGACGCTGCGACCAGGGGGGACGACGTCACAAATCGGTAGACTCATAACGATTGAAAACAATGTTTTTGTTTGAGTTTGGGTTTGACCAATTCGTAAAAAATAAAAAAAAAAACAAAACAAAAAAAAAACTAATTAAGACATGCGTGTCCGTCAACCTTAAACAATAATCTTTATCAATTTTATTTTTCAGTCTTTATGATGGTGAATACTTGATCTTTTTCTTACTGTTACATCCCCGGGCAACGCCGGGCTCTACTGCTAGACTGTAATTACCACATATGCCTATAAGAGACGTGTCTGAAAAGTAACGGGACTGGGTGTGTTGTATGAGCCATGGGCGAAAGAGAGAGAAGCGGATTGTGTTATCGTCTAATACGATATCTTGAGAGAATATAACTGTAATCTTAGCCTTTTGAAACCATTGCATGTTTTCAAATGCGAGAGTTGTGGGAGGACAAGTCGTGGCTGCTTCATCACGACAATGCACATGCTGACAACGCCCTGAGCACCCGGCAGTTCCTGGCCGCGGAGAACATCGCCGCACTGGAACAACCTCCCTATTTCTCTTGATCTTGCTCCCTGTAACTTTTTTCTTTTTCCCCCAAGGACACCATCAAGGGAAGCCGTTTTGAAGTCTTTAAAAAAGATTTAGTCGTCAGAAACGGTATAAATCGTTTTAGTAATATTTCAAACAAACAAATCCTTTTTCATAGTGATGCCAATAACAGGAATACTGGAGATTATTAAAATATGGGGGTGTGGGAACATTATTTGCATCCATCACATCAACAGCCTTTTTTTGTTTTATATAAGAATGATCTGTTTTCCTGTTTGTTGTTGATCGCTTTCTTTTTATAATAATCTTCATGGCGATCAAAGACGTTTAAATATAAGAAAATTAAAAGCAATAAAATGTTTTATATTGTAGCAAAGATGTCTTTTTCAATAGCTTTGATGTTTCAACTACATTGTCTCATTCGTGTTGTCGTTTTATAATGTCCGTCTGAAAAGTAACGAGATTGGGTGTGCTGTATGCGCCATGGGCGAAACAGCGAGAAGCGAATTGTGTTATCTCTTCTCTAACATGATATCTTGAGAGTATATAACTGTAATCTTAGTTTTCTTCAACCATTGCATTTTCTTTCACATGCTTTTGTGGCAGAACAAATCATGGCTGATTCATCTAAATAGGTATATATATATATATATATATATATATACCTATTTAGGCCTCATATCGTCATTCTAGTCTGTTTAATTGAAGAATATAGATAAATATTATGGCTATTTAGTTTTATAATAATCCTTTCTAGTACACAAATTAGCTTCTTGATGTTAAGTTGAAATTAATCAAGGAAGGCGCCGTAGTTTTTGTTAACCAAAATACTTTCGATCTCCTTCGAGATCATCCAGCTCCTGCCAAACACGCTGTAACATGTCTTGCGTAACATTCCCCAGTGCCTAAGTGATTCTTTTCTTAAGTTCCTCTAGGCTTGTAGGAAGAGCGGGATACAGACCTGTCCTTATAGCTCCATTGAAAAATAACACAAGGTCAGATGTGACGTAGCGGCCATTTCAACAGAGCATTGTCATTATCCGTATCTTTCTCGTAGATTCTCATTAAGATAATCCGCACTGAAGCGCTGGAAAATGTTACGCAAGGCATGCTACATCCTGTTTAACAAGAGCTGAATTATGTCTTGGCGTGTGTTGCTTCACAGGCACATTGTGGCATATTGAAGATTTCTGAAACTTTGTGATTATGAAATCTACATCTCTTTGAATATTTTGTTCGAATTTTGATAAATTATTCACATATTAAATGATGTCAATTTTGGGGGACAACCCGTATATATATATATATATATATATATATATATATATATATATATATGAGCGGTACTTATTGGAAATCGCTCAATATCAGTGATAGAGCTATCATATTCTGTAGTATGGGTGTGTGTTTTGTGATCATCAGACAAACTGATTTATTTTTTTAAAATTTGAATCTATTTGTGTATTGTATCACTCCGTCTGTGAATTTTACGTTTATAATCAGTACTGCTGACTGATATCATATTTCCGCAACACTACCCCGGTTACAAAATTCATCCCAACCCTCCATTGAACGAGTTAAGGCTTTGATTTTCGACGACTTTTTGATTGGGCTAAATCTAATTTGTCCTTTTTCAATTGATACATTGCGTTAAAAAATCTTATACTGTATCAAATAAACTATTTAAAATGCACATTTGAAAAGAATAAGTTAAAATAAAAGTGTGTTCTTTGAAAAACAGGTTATACAATTCGTTAGATTTTTAAAAAGTATTACTTATAAAATTAAAACAAGATATACATTGTCAATTAAATGTCTCCGGTCCAGATAGGGCTCAGATCTACGGAGCCACAATAACCAGATTAATCTTAATTTATTTTGTTACTTGCTATCTTTCTTTGTTATATTTCTTTCTTCTTTCTTCTTTATTGTAAACAATATTAAGGCAATGTATTTCTGTCAGTATTTTCCAGTTAAAACAATTTGGGATCAAGCTGAAATCAAGAATGAAATCGACGTAGTACAAAAGATTTTTTTTGCCTTGAAATAGATATACTTGAATCCTGATTCACCCTGGCTAAACCCGACAAGCCCGACCGCCGGAGTCACTACTGATATATATATATATATATATATATATATATATATATATATATATATATATATATATATATATAAAAACACAAATCACTAATAAGAACTTCTGTCAATTATAACAGTGAATGCCTACAAGGATATAAGATAGCAGTGATAAAAAGTAAACTTTCCAAATTGAGTGCACTTAATCTTCTCGAAAAATATTTCCTGTGAACTTAAACAATAAAACAAACAGTAGTTAATAATTTTCCCAAATACATTATCGATAAGCAAATAAGATTATTCCGACAAATATTACAAAGGCAACAACACTAAAAAAAAAGCAACAACATAACATTAATAACTTCTACTGGAAGCAAATGAATAAAAACTATACACAAGACGAATACGCCATACAACGCGCCATAAAAACACTATTTCACCTGTAGACGCTTGCAAGCGTGAGAAACGTACAGTATACTATTGAAAATTAAAACTTGTCTATAAAATCCAAACTTCAGACTAGCAATGTAATTTATTTTATTCCCCAGGAGAAGATTGTGACGCTTCTAATGAAGAAAAAAAACGTATACATACATTGGTCGCGCCAGAAAATCTTTAGGCGTCACTTCGTCTTGTTTAAATACATTAAGAACACTAGAAAAATTGAATAAAAACATTATATCTTACTTGTCCATCGGATTAAATGAAACATGTATAAAAGTAAAAGGACTCTTTCGCCTCTCTCTCCCTTTCTCTCTCTCTCTCTCTATATATATATATATATACACACACACAGAGAGAGAGAGAGAGAGAGAGAGAGAGAGAGAGAGAATTTGAATTCTAGACGAGTTCATTACATTAACTTACGTGCCACCCCCTTGGTAAAGATATGTAGCCACCTTCTCCCCTTCGAAAGACTGGGTTCTGTAGCCAGTCTAGAAGAAGGAAAACTCTGAAGTCAAAGCAACCTGAAGAGGATTGTGCTCCGTCAGGCTATCTTAGCCAAGACACACCACTGATACTGCAGCTGTAGTTCATGTGGTGCCCGTACGACCCTAGAGTTACGAGACTCGTGATCATGATATATATATATATATATATATATATATATATATATATATATATGTGTGTGTGTGTGTGTGTGTGTGGTAAGCAACCTTTCTTTTAAGCATGTTTCGTGGAAAATGACAAAGAAGGAAAATTAATTTTTTATTTATTTTTTCCAGTATGCTTACATTTTCCCGTTTGGTGAGAGTAAGGGAGTGCAAATATTGTTTGTATTGTTCATTGTCGCAAGCGCTGTCAGACACTTCATTAGCCATTTTCAAGGGGGAGATTTCTCTTCATGTCTGTTGTTTAATATGTATTTTTGTGGTGTTTTGAATACTATTAAGAGCGTTTATTTAGAGCTTCACATGTTGAGCCTGGTTGTAATTTGAGCGAGCGGCTTTCAATTTAAAAAAATCAACACACATTTTCCGTTGTTGAATAAGGCGAGATCTATACTGGGAGCGAGATGTTTTATATATATTGCGTAATGTTTTCTGTAATCTGATTTATGTAAAATGTTAGTGTTTTCGTTCAGAATTTTTTACACACACACACACACACACACACACACACACATATATATGAATATCGCACATGCTGATGCTAATAAAATAATGCTCTATGTAAAATAACAGAGCTAAAACATATATTTATAACAAATATATATTTTCTGGAGATATTTTTCATTTCCTCGGTATGTATTTCCAAATTTTTGATAATATTGTTCATCCACTACAAAATATAAAGAACACTCATTCCAGACCGTTGCTGAATGAAATTGTTTTATGCACGTAAGTGAAGTGGTAAGGAATACAGTGAGTATATGTACGATATATAATGGTTGGCATTTGACTTGAAGTGGTTAAAATCAGGGAATCATCCTCTCGTGCGCCTGCTCCTATAGAAGCGTCTTTTAGAAAGAAGCTGTTCGAATAGAACTTCTTTTTTGCCAAGGGAATACAAAAATATGAAGATGATTGTACCCTGTGCATATGGCGGGGGGGGGCTCTTGCTATAAATGTCTGAACTGGTGTGACACGGAATATTGCTTTTCAGAACATTTGCCATGGAAATGGCGACTGAACAGCGACATTTTGTCTGAGGGAAAAGGGCTTAAACGTGGGAAATAATTCACCCCCTACAAAGTTAGCAAATGCTTTTGGACTGTCATAATATTTAGAATATACCGTCTCAAAATCTTTACATTCACTTACGCGCAAATACCCTTGAATATGGTAGAAATCAATCAACTTCTCAGCAGAATAGCAGGACTAGTTCTATAGCCTTGGTTGGCAACCATCAATAGTAGACAGAAACGTCAACCTACTGCGGGAAAATCTTCGGCCGAGTCAGTCAAGAATCGAAAGAGATATGGTCACCCAAGCGTGTATCACGTACGGCCCTTAACTGACAGGCAGACCGTCTCGAGATTTGCCGAGGAAAAAATAAAAAAAATAATCTTTCTTTAAATCAGAATGATTATTTCGCAGTATGTTGTATAATTCTGTTTATAATTCTGAATAAACAAAAACAGATTTAAACCTACATTATTTCGTTTTGTATTTACGGATAAACACGTGATATTTAAAACAGGCTTTAAAATCACCTTTGCAAAAACTAGCTTGTTATCGAAAGGTTAATTTTGGCCATACCGCAACATAAAAGAAATAAAATATGCAGCGTCGACCTCAACAATGCTCTCTTTGTTGCTCTGACATTGAGTGAATCAAATCTTGCCAATCCCTTCGCTATACGAAAGGTCAGACAAGTACCCTGTTGGAGGTGCTTGATTTGGAAATATCAATATTTTTTTTATTTCAAGAAATAAATGACCTTGATCAATATGCAAAACTTTTTTTTTTCTTTATGATTTAAATTTAGATATTGATTTCCCGTCAGAATCATTTCACAATTGTGCAATCGGTTTAAGCACAGGCCATAACCTTTGAAAAATACTCTCTCGCACACACGCATTTATAACATGAGTTAATTCCTGTTCACTAGAGGACAATAAACCGTTTTCAACAAGTTCTTTCGCTTGAATCTGAGACAGTCACAAGATGAAGCCGTTTTCACCCTAAAGAAATCTTTTAAAAGAGCGTAATTATCAGTTGAAGGTGTGCGGTTTAAAAATTACGTTTCCTACCTTCAAGTGTTTGTTATCGTGAGTTGAAAGAATTTGGCTTTGCTGCGATGATTAAAAATATAAATTAAAACTCACACGACCCCCCCTATATATATATATATATATATATATATATATGGTGACTTTCTATAGAATCTATCTTAGATATCTACCATTCTTCCCTGCTTAGAATATTGCTGCCACATATGGTCTGGTGCCCTTGGTACTTACCTTGAGCCCCTTGATAAGATCTAAAGAATAATCTGAAATATTATTGGTCCTGTTCTGGCGGCTCAACTTCAGTCACTTTCGCACCACCGTAATGTTACCTCTCTGTGCCTTTCCTATAAATACTTTCATGGTAAATGTTCAAATGAGCTCTTCTCTATTGTATCTAGACTCCATGAATTTAAGCGCAGCACCAATGAGATCTCATCAATTTACAGTCGTTCTGGCTAAATGTAGCCATAAATTCTATGCTAACAGTTTCTTTTCTCACTTCTGAATCTCCCTTCCGGTTCCATGCTTTCCAGCCAACTTCAATCTGCAAATTTTAAATGCAATGCCAATCTCTAACTACTTTCCTCCTGATTACTCTCGTGTCTTTTTTCATATCATTAATGTTTCTGTTCCTAATTCTTCTCCACCCTACTACTCCTTGTGTTTTAGTGGCTTTAGTGCCTTACTTGGTATAATCCCGATTAAAAAAAAAGAGTTTTGTATAGTATTGTGTGTAGTAATCTCTCTTTAACAGACATTTCGTTAAGCAAGATTGACAAATCTGTCTATATTTCTGAGATGAGGTATTATGTACACTATTTACATTATACGGACTATTGTCCTCATCTTTCTCGCCATATTTATTACAACGGCCGAAACATTGTAATAAATATGGCGACAAAGATTGAAAAGTAATTTTTCTTTCGATTTTTATTATTTTTATTGTATACATAGACGTGTCATCTTTTTGGAACTTAAGAAATATAAATTTGCCCAAACCTTGTTTGGTCGCAAGCGCTTTCAGTTAAACTGTTAACCATTTACAAAGCCTATATTTTGTTATACTACTATAAGAAATAGTAGTACGTGTTAATGTGGACGGTATAAAAGTTGTTGAAATCGGATATAGTCTTACTTTCCATTTAAGACAAGTACCTTATAACCTTGCTCATAATTAATGTCCTTAATTAAGTTCGTTTCTTGTTTTTAATATTGGCTTCCATCACATTTAAATGTTTTTGAAGTTGAAGGTACCTATGACGTTTGTATTCTCTACAAGTATGCTAAGAACTCAGGTTGGTACGATTCCATGGTGGTTCAGATTGATCTATAGTCGATTATGTAGCGCCAGTAATCTTGATAGGCAAGTGGTGGCAATTCCAACATAATTATTTATGAATTTACTTTCGTTGTGAATGTAGTAACCTAAAAGGTATCTATCTATCTATCTATCTATCTATCTATCTATCTATCTATCTATCGAAAGAGAGGGAGAGGGAGATAGTGATTAATAGATAGAACTATAAGGTATCTATCTATCTATCTATCTATCTATCTAGTCGGTTTGTATCATTAAGTCGGTATGTATATATATCTATTAGAGAGAGAGAGAGAGCGATCTATCTATCTATCTATCTATCTATCTATCTATCTCAGTCTGTTTGTATGTATGTAAGTAATATTTGAAGAGCTGGTATTGCTGATGGTGTGAAGATCTTCTATGAGGCATCACAAAAATATGCAGAACTGAAGAGAGGGGTTCGGAAAGGATCCCTGAATTGCCATGAGGTGCCAAGCAGGTTATGTGCCCAATGCAATCGGATATGTCTGTCCAGGTCAGGTCTGATCAATCACCAGCAATCACACCAACGCCAACCAATTGCATATGACGATTTCATAATGGCATGCTTTGAATGGTCGACCTGCACTAGGGTGTGCAAGTTCAGATCGGGCCTGACAAGACTTATAAAAAGACACATTGGAAGTGATGATGTATAAAATCAACTTCCACCACCCGAAGATGATTTGACATGCTATGTATGTAACAAGAAATGCAGATCGATGGCTGACTTTATAAGCCACTGTAATTCACACAAAAAATGAATGCAGCGTTGTGGGTGGAGGGGAGTTTAACTGATGGACTGGACATGTCAGTGATGGTCATACTCACTTTGTGAGTTTACAGCCATTATCTATCTATCTATCTATCTATCTATCTATCTATCTATCTATCTATCTCGATCTGTTTGTATGTATGCATGTCGCTCTCTCTCTCTCTCTCTCTCTCTCTATATATATATATATATATATATATATATATATATGTATGTGTGTGTGTTTATATCTGTCTATGTCGGTTTCTATCTATCTCAGTCTGTTTCTATCTATCTATCTATCTATCTATGTATGCATGTATCTATCTATCTATGTCAAATTGTTTCTGTCTTTCCTTCTGACTGCCTTAGTCTATTCACATCTATCTATCTATCTATCTATCTATCTATCTATCTATCTATCTATCTATCTATCTATCTATCTATCTAATTAAATGAGTGTATAATAGATATATTTTTGGTGCGGTTTCGCTTTCATTAGACTTGATGTTATCGTTGACAGCCAGTATACACTATCTATCTATCTATCTATCTATCTATCTATCTATCTCGGCCTGTTTGTATGTACGCATGTATCTCTCTTTCTCTTTCTCTCTCTGCATATATGTGTGTGTTTATATCTGTCTATGTCAGTTTGCAGCTATCTCAGTCTATTCCTTGGGCACCTCGAGGTGGTGTAATGTTTATCAACCTTGTCTCGCTAGAACTATTACGGCTGAGTAGTGAGTTCGATTCTCACTGGGTGCCCCCTAATTCCGGCCCTGTGCCACATCTAAGCTATGCTTGGAAACTCACTATCTCAGTCTGTTTGTATCTATCTCCTCTTTGTCGCAAGATATCACTGTAAAACATAATTGTGCTTTTGAACAGATATAGCGCTTCAAACCTGAGAAATTTTAAAAACATCTGGCACAAAGTTGAAAGACTCTTGTGACACAGGCATATTGTTAGTCATCAAATCTATTTTAGTGACTGAATATATATCTACTTAGCCCACCAGCTGACTTTTCCACAAATGTGACACATATTCTCAGTACTTATTTCCATTTTGTAGCTTGACGGCGTTGTGATACTAGGACGTCCTATATAACTTCCTTTTACTGATTTACTCAAACAAAGCCTACCACATATACAGTGAGAGTCAAAAGTGTTTGTATCTATAACATGTCTAGAATATATAAATTTAAGCTCTTTTAATGGCTTGTATAAACATTAGAATAAATATATTTAAATAAAAATGGCATGTCCAAATAACATAAAGGTTTATTTAACGAAATTCTCCATATTATTATTTATTTTTCTATATAAAAATGAATCAAAATTGTTTGCAAATTAATTTTAAAATAATGGTTCGTGGAAAGATGCCTACTGCTGATGAAAAAGCAAAAATCAAATACGCTTAAATTTAAATAATAAAACCACACTGAAATGGCAAAAAATTTGATCATCAGAGAAGCAATATGCCAAGAAGTACGAGGCCAGGTCGCCCAGGTAGTTAACAAGAGAAATCCAGCAAGTTAGATGGCGTTGAAGAAAGTATCAAAGCAATAAGAAATCATCAGACGCAAAAACAACATTCTCAATTTCATGTCCTTCGTTGAGCGAAAGGAATCGCCTGAAGAGGTTAGAATGGGCTTAAAAAATTGATTTCAAAAAAAATTAAATGAAACCCGATTAATGTATTCCTGATGGTTGGTAAACAGGTTGGTTCAATCATCGTTTACGTTTACGTTTTAAACGCCAAAAGCCATACTGGGCTGAAATTTGGCTCGACATTAATTTGACCATTTTTGAAGGACTCAAACTGAATTCAACTAATTGCAAATTTTACATACCCTGGTTGAATTCAGAACCTTTTCGTAGTAATTGTTTATCAACAATATAATTTGCGTCAGCCTTCACCAAAAGTGGTTTGGTTTTGAACAAATTTGGTATGGCCACAAAAGAATCCCGATTTTTGAGATCCTTTGGGTTATTGTAAAACGTCTAATTTTTTTTTGAGCAATTTTCTAATACGGTTCACCTGTTCATTTTGAATGTTTGTTCTAAAATTACAGCCAAAAAAACTTCATCAGAATAAAACTTAATTAAGAATGATGGGCAAAAAATTAAATATTAATGTATTCCTTGTATTTTCATATATCGATATCTAAAGAAAGCCATACCAACTTTCATTTGTATATATTACATAATACACCTTTTCATTATATTGTACAATTGATCTGAAGGACCAATTTTGGCATTGGAATTAAATGTCCAAAAAATTATTATTTCTTTAATTAATAAAAAAATCAAATAAAAAATTTATCATAATTTTTCTAAGATCTAATGTTTGGGTACTGGACGTGCAGTAAGGAATTAACATATTTTATGTCCATAAAATTATATTTTATTAGAGAAAATGCAAAATATCAGTATTTGCAAACTCTTTTGTGTCGCACTATATATATATATATATATATATATATATATATATATATATATATATATATATATATATATAGTCCGGCCTTAGATAGGCATATGATTACTGTTTTTGCAATGTCGTGGTGCGTAGCTCGACGCTTTCAAGGAGGCGGCCTGACTCATCTAGTATCAGGTCGGGCTTGCTGTTGGAGCCGATATGATGCGAAACCCGAAATCGGCGATGGGAAAAGTGCATCACTAAAGACCACCCTTGATACATCTAAAATGTATGACTTAACCAAAAAGTAACTATATATATATATATATATATATATATATGAACATGTGGCCGAGTATTTGGAATGCTCACTTTCTGATCATGTGATTTTTCAGGAAGGTGACTTCTTGATGTTATCGATCTGAGGGAGGCGATCCCAACGTGCGGCACCTTTGGAAAGTGCCTGATAAGATATACGACGCCTTGTGAGTGAAATTGGGGATATGGAACTCCTTAGAAGCCGTCCATGGTTGTACTAGTACGAAGTCACAAGTCATCGTGACCGATGGTTTGAGCGTGCTGACCTTGTTCAAACTAGTGATCACGCTAGGTAATGCTCTCTCTCTCTTTCAGAAATTGTAACAGCATAGTTGCAGTATAAAGCGCAAGTGGGCTCTGTGGATGTTGAACAAACACGTGCCTGAGCACTCGTCTGTAACAGGGATTGGGTAGCCGTCCTAGCCACTCTAAACACACACACACACACACACACATATATATATATGTATATATATATATATTTCGTTATCAGCGGAGATTTCGTAGCATAAGATACACAGTTGACCTTATGATGGTGAAAGTGGAAGAACTCTTAAAAATGTAATGATGAAAAGCAAGAAGAAAGAACTAACTACAACATATAGTGAAAGAAATTGCGAAAGGACAAAAATCTACTGCCTTCAAAGAGGCAGAATATAACGATTGAGGTTACAATTAAATCTTTTGGAAATTGTAGCAGATAAGAAAGCAAGAAGCCGGAAGTGAATTCAACAAGCTATATAACTTACGGTTATGCAACTACAGTCGTTTTCTTTTGTCTTCTTAGACCCTGTTTATTTATTGTCATCTACTCACTAAATTATTCTCATTCTATTCCACTCCCAGTAACCCTCGCGCCTTAGTGGTTTTATCGCCTTACTTGGAGTGAAATGCTAAAATAGGATAGTGTTAGTTCAGTTAAAATATATAATTATTTGCTTTGTTTTGATTAATATAAATCACTGAGTATATATGCCACTTAATAATAAAATATTTGAATGACCCAGTACAGTCGTAACAGACGACTCGTAACAGGGGGAACAGTGATATAAACTGATCAACTGTTGAACTCTCTGTCTTTGGCAGAGAGGAACCCGGGCGAGGGTTTGCCAAAGGGCAAAGTTTCGTCTGGATACGTAGACAGTCCCGGACCCGTTTATGCGGGTTCTACAGGAACATTTTTAGCCGAGCCTACGTGCTCGGAGAACCCACGGGCTCGGAGAACCCACGTTAAACTCAGTCTTGAGCCACATATACCCCTCGTGGAGGTGGAGGCTGTTAAATATTAACATACGACACGGCTAGCTTGCTAAACACGACATCACACCAAGATCTTTCCATATGTTTCATATCCAACTTTACCACGTGGACATTTATATGTATAAATTATACATGAAATTCGCACGTACAAACAAAACTGCAAATCACAAACACACACTCAGATATATATACACGATATTAAAAGGTGTATATTCGTCTATGTCTCGTCGAGTTTAAATTTGACGGAGTCATAAAGATTATTCCGCGTCATATAAATAAGTGCATTTGGATTAATTCTTACAATATCTGTCCATTGAGGTTATTCGAGACCTCTTTTAGTAACGATGATCTCACTAAAATATATTGCGAACGGAATATTTCACACACAAGTTTTTCTTTCATTCTACCTCCATCCTATTTTCTCCCAACATGTCAGCAAGCCACCCTCATCGGATTGCCATGTTGTTCGCATTAACATGTCGACGTGGCAGTAGAATTCTTTTTTGTTTATTCATCTCTCATCTAAGTCGCCGCCTACACACTGACGGACGAGATGGGTGAGCCAGACGACTGAATGGTTGGAACAGTGCGACCAAGTATACGACAACAGTGAGTGTGACAATCACAAGGTGCTTTGGAATAGCTAAAGGTGCCTTTTAGAAACTAAGAAAAATATTAAGATAGAGAAAACTTTAGTAGGAAACAAACAAAAATACACTGAGCTACAATGGCGTATCTATCTTTCTGTATATTAATGAATAACTAACGATCTCTTTACAGTTGAAGAAGAGGCTCGAAGCGACATAAATGGGATTATACAAACGGATGCTGATAAAAACGTGGACTGAACATGTTAGCAAGGCAGGACTTTTAAGGAGTATAGGGCAAAAAGGAGATTAGTATTTAAAAATAGAAGGAGAATGTTTCAGTTTCTAATACGCATAATGAGGAAAGTGGGCACGGTTTATTTAACACTCACAGGGTTTAATGAAGGCAGGAGAAGTAAACGAAAATAGCAAGAAACCTACCTAACAAATATTTGGTAATATGTGGAAGAGCGGGGACAAAGAATGATGGTATAGATTCGACGTTGCTTTGAGAAATAGGAAGTAGGGGAGAGCCATAATTGTTCACGTTCTGAATGGATACAGCTAATAAAAGACAAAGACCCTTACTATAGGATCTGCTATTCTGGGTGTGTTAGTTTCATATTCTATATTCATTGTTTAAATTTTTTTCAAAGTTCATTTGAAAGGCAGCCGACAGACTTTTGTCATTTGAAAGCAACACGCTTTTCTAACAATAATCCGATCATTTCTTTCGACGACTATTTGATAGTTAAGCGAATTACATATTTTCCGGCAGTCGGTATTGAAGTCTGAGCGAATAGATATTCCTTATTACGTTGAATTGGAGACTTTCTTTGATCGATTCCTTTGCATTGTTCT